TAACCCGAACCTCCCCACCTTGACCCTCTGAGCACTAGGGTTTCTGTGTCTCCAGTTGGGTATCAAGCATCCCAGCATCAGAATTATGAGTCATCGTGGCAAACTGACCCCTTGGGATAGGACCCAAGAGTCTCACTAACTCCCTCTGGAAAATGGCAGCAGAACCGGTTGGTATCTGTTGGTTGAATGGCTGCAAAATTGGCTAGAAATCCAATCACAACATGTCAAATATTGAACTTGAGAGTGGAAAGGTATTTGACCCAAACCATTAAACCATCACCCTTAATTCTATCCCTGCAACCTATAGCCCTTAACCCCAGCACCTAACCCTAACCGCTAACCCTTAATCCTCCTCCCCGTGTATAATTATAACCTGAACTCTAACCCAAAGGGCCCATATGTCCTGGGTTGAACTAGACAGTCCCAGTCCTTCCTACCAGTGTCTCAAGTGAGTTCCCATAACTCTAACGACATGTTTTTGAGATACAGAATTGCAAATTGGCCGCTAGAGGCTGATGATGTTAGCAATGAACCTAGGAGCCTAATGAGAAGATAACATTTAATATTCGTACCCAAGCTAAAATTCTTAGAAGAACATCAGCTGGAGACCTGAAGACCAAATGTAAGTGGTACAACACTTCTTTGGGGAGCCCAGAAGTGTCCCCCAATTTCAGTTCCTTGGTCAAAAACTTGAGTTGTTTTCTAGCTGCAGACGCTGTGATTTCTCCAAGGGGAATTTCTCTGCCACTTCGCCACCTAATTCCCTTTGGTTCCTCAGGAAAAACCCAGTGCAAATTACTGGGAACAACCCTCCACGCTGTGAAATTAACCCGTGTTACTGCTGACCAGCGGCACAGCACAATGCATCAGCAACTCCACAGAGCAGAGGTTGGGACACAGGACTCCTGGGTTCTCTACCTGGCTGTGCCACTGACCTGCTGTGAGCAGGTCCCTTCCTCGCTCGCTGCCTCAGTTTCCTCTCTGACCCTTCCTTTATCTTGCCTATTTGGCCTGTAAGTTCTGTGGGGTAGGGACTGTCTGTCATTGTGTCTCTCTGCAGCACCCGGTGTAATGAGGCCCCCGATCACAGACTGCGTCTGTTTAGCACCAAGTGAATTGGGGGCCCTGATCCTGGTCAGTCTGTGACACAACCTGGAAGACAGGGGGCAGCCTATCTCAGGCACCCACTTACACACAGACATTAATAAGACCTTGCAACTGTCACTAGTCTCAGCACAAACTGTGCTGTGCTGAATGGAGCAGAGTGGGGCTCCGCTAGGGGACACTCTCCCCCGGCATTGAGTGCTGGCCCCAGTGCCACGCTAGGGCCTGTGCTGCACGGAGCGGGGCAGGGGCTCGGTAGGGGCTGTGTCTCATGGCCTCGCTCTCTCTCCCTTTGCAGCTAGCAACACGGCCCCGTCTGTCTTCCCCCTGACCTCCTGCACTGGCGAAGGCACCACGTCCCAAGTCACCTTCGGCTGCCTGGCCAAAGGATACTTCCCCGAGCCGGTCACCATGACGTGGAGCCCAAACGTCGGCTCCTCGGGCGTGAAGACCTATCCCTCCATACTGCAACCTTCCAGCGGCCTCTACTCCCTCAGCAGCCAGGTCACCGTCCCGGCCAGCAGCTGGGAGTCTGACACCTATAGATGCACCGTACAGCACCAGCCCACCAGCTCCAGCATCTCCAAGGATATCCCAAGTAGGGACGGCGCGGCGCAGCCCGGGGGGGAAGGGAGGGGTTGGGGGTCTCTCAGGGCCCTGCTCTGGTGACTGCTGCAGGGAGAGAGGATGGGAGCCTGCTAGTGCTGTGAGCTGATGGAGTCGCTGTGGTGGGTGGGTGGAGAGAGAGAGAGACACCACGCCAAGAGAAGCGATGGGTGCTGCAATGCAGGGAAAGGGGCAGAGGGCTCCAAACTGGGCACCAGGCTGCAGGGAGCGGGGGGCTCAGCAGGGGTCTGTACAAAAACTAACCCATCACCCTTCTCCCAGAGACCATTAAACCCACGGTGGAAGTCCTCTATTCCTGCACCACCAACCCAGGCCCTGTCGAGCTGGTGTGCTTAATCTCCGGCTTCTACCCTGAGACTTTGACGGTGGAATGGCTGTTGGACATTGGGGACGGCATGTCTGGGGAACTAGAGGGTCACACTGAGCCTCCCAAGATGTACGCCGACGGCACCTTCAGCACCCGCAACAAGGCCAGTGTCCCCAAGGACAAGTGGCTGAAGGTCAACAAGTACAGGTGCCAGGTGTCCCAGCCGGGCACCACCATCAAAACGCAGGGATACACCCACAAGTGCGAAGGTGACGCTCGCCGGCACTAGGCTGCCTACGAAGAGGAGGGGCAGTGGCGGATTCAGAGTTAGTGCGGCCCTGTGATCAGCTTCATTCTTGGGGCCCCACTTGGGGCCCAGCCAAGAGAAAGAACATTCTCTGTCATCTGCCCCCGCCCCCATTTTTCATTCTTGTTTTCTTCATCCTCCTCCTGTAAGTAATAGCAAGTAAATGGAAATAAAGTGAGGTACCTTGATTGTTCTTGTAGTCGAACTTATTTTTCCACAGACCACTTGAAAATTGCTGGGGGTCTCAGCGGACACTTAATGATCATTCCAAATATTGTTTGCATTGTTAGCTAACTATTGTAAAGTGCTTTCGATAAGAGCACTTTATAAAAATAATGTAAACAAACATTGGGGTGCAGGGTCTGGCCAAGTCTACGGGTGCAGGAGGGGGCTCTGGGCTGGGGGTGCAGGGTCTGGGAGGAAGTTAGGGTGAGGTGGCTCAGGGCTGGGGCAGCAGACTGGGGTGTGGAGCGCTTACCTGGGGCAGCTCCCGTTTGGTGCGAGGGGTGCAGGTGGGGATGTGGGGGGCTGCAGCAGTCAGGGAGGGCAGGGGGCTGGAGGTGTGTGAGGGGGGTGCAGGGTCTGGGAGGGAGTTAGGGTGCAGGAGCGGGCTGGGAGTTGGGGCAGCACCATTTGGTGTGAGGGGTGCAGGTGGGAATGTGGGGGGTGAAGGAGCTTCTGTTTGGTGCTCAGGGTGGGCATGGGGGGGTGCAGGAGTCAGGGCTGGGGTCATAGGGGTGCTCCCATCCCCCTGCCCTACCCCACCCTAGCCCCCTACCCTGAGCGGCTCACGGCAGGGGGTTGGGGGGTTATGTGTAGGGGGAGCAGGGGGGGACCAGGTTGCTGCCGCCGCAGCTCCCCAGCCCTGGGGCCCCCTGTGCTTTACTATAAATCCACATCTGGTCCTGCCGGCTCCAGGGGCTCCTGCTGCAGGCTCCACCCACCCGGGCAGCCAAACTACCCCTCCCCCACCTCTTCCCTGCCTCCTCCCCCAACCGCTGCTTCCCCCGACGCAGAACTGCTGTTTGCCAGCGCTCCGGTCGCTCCTGGAGAGAGGGGGAGGGGCGGGTCCACAGCACACTCGGGAGAGGAGGCAAAGCAAAGGCGGGGCCTGGGCACTCCCCCTACACAGGGGCAGAGGCTGGGAGCGCCCCCACAATCCCACCCCACATCCCTAGCCCCCTGCCCTGACTCCTGCACCCCCATCAGATCCCCCCCACCCTGATCACCAAATGGGAGCTCCTTCACACACACCCCCGCACATTCCCACCTGCACTCCTCACACCAAATGGAGCTGCCCCAGGTCAGCGCTCCACACCCCAACCTCCTGCCCCAACCCTGAGCCCCCTCCTGCACCCTAACGCCCTCCCAGACTCTGCACTCCCAGCGTGGACTCCTGCACCCCCCTCATGTACCACCACCCCTACCCTCTCTGACACCTGCACCCCCCTCACACACAGCCAGCCCCCCCACACTCCCTGCCCTGACTCTGGCACCCCCCCATCCCCGCCCCTGCCATGAGCACCAAACGGGAGCTCCTGCACCCCCTCCCCACTTCCAGCGATTTTCAAGTGGTCTGTGGAAAAATATGTTCGACTACAAAAACAATCAAGGTTCCTCACTTTATTTCCATTTACTTGCTATTACTTACAGGAGGAGGATGAAGAAAACAAGAATGAAAACGGGGTGGGGGGGCGATAACAGAGAATGTTCTTTTTCTCGGCTGGGCCCCAAGGAGGGGCCACAAAAATGAAGCTGATCACAGGGCCCCAGTAACTCTAAATCCACCACTGGGCAAGACCAAGCTTCTGCCCCCGCAGCTGCCCGGCCCTGGGACCCCCGTCATTGGGGGAGCCCGTGCCAGGACACCCTGTTATTTACTGTAAATCCGCCTGTGGGGAGGGGGACACCAGCCTGGGATGGAGGGGGGAGAGGGGTGGGTAGAGACTGGGATGGGCTTGCCAGGGCAGACCTGGCCTAGCAGCTGACCTGGGCTCTCCTGTCCCCAGAAGAAACAACATCTCCCAGCAACATCCAGGTCTTCCTTGTGCCCCCGTCTCCCGCTGCCCTGTACGTGGCCCAGAGCCCCATGCTCACCTGCCTGGTGGTCAACATGCCTAACGACTCCAGCCTACAGCTGGTCTGGTCCCGGGAGAAGCCAGGGTCCATTGTCCCTGATCCCCTGACCCTCACTAACCAGTCCAACGGCACCGGCACCGCCTCCAGCTCCATGCCCATCTTCACCCGCGACTGGGAAGCCGGAGAGACCTTCACCTGCAAAGTGGAGCACTCGGAGCTGCCCTCGCCCCTCATCAAATCCATCTCCAAGAAGCCAGGTAGGAGGAGAGCAGGGTCCCTAAGGGGAGACACTCCCCTATCCCAGCTCCCAGCAGGGAGGGATGCTCATTAAGGAGAAGCCCCAACAACCTGGGATCCTGGCCCTGGGTCCCTTTGCATCCCCATGTGACATGGAGACCATCGTATCCCACATCCTGTGCTCCAGGACTACCAGCTCCCAGTCCCCAGCCCCTCCATCCTGGAGGAGAGAGGGGATGTTCCTACCCCCACGCACATCCACACCATCCTTCTCCCCGCGTGGCCCCAGCTGAGTAATGTGCATGGCTCCCCTGTGTCCTCCATCCCCACCCACCCAAGGCAGGCGCTCTGGCCCAGGCATCTACCTCCTGCACCCCCACAACGAGGAGCTGAGCAGCTCCGAAGACTCGGTCAGCCTCACCTGCCTGGTGCGGGGCTTCTTCCCTGAGGACATCTCTGTGCAGTGGATGAAGAACCACAAACCCAACGAGAGCTTGGAATACCTCACCACCCCGCCCATCAAGGACGGAACCGGCGACTCAAACTTCTTCCTCTACAGCAAGCTGAAAGTCAGCAAGGCCAGCTGGAACAGCGGGGACATCTACACCTGCATGGTCATCCACGAAGCCCTGCAGATGAAGTTCACCCAACGCAGTGTCAGCAAAGTCTCCGGTAAATGAAGACGGCTCCTCCCAGCCCCGCTGCTAGCACTGTCCAGTACAGCTTCCTGTAAATAATCTCTGTGCCCCCAATGACAACAAGGGAATAAATGGAACTAGTCTGACCTCACACCCAGGTCTCCTTCTTGTGGTGTGACTGGGTGAAATCTGTGGGTCGCCCAAGGTGGACGAGGTCCCAGGTTGCAGGCTGGGAGAAACCAAGATGCTATAAGGCTGGGGATGCCAATTCCCAGATCCTGTATGGGTGGATACATATATACCATGGATGGATGGGGAGATACATGGGTTGATGCCATGGAAGGAAGGAAGGGTAGATACATGAGTACATACACACCACAGAAACAGTGATGGAGAGGGGGGTAGATTTACAGTTACACACATACATACTGCAGAGCCCATATCCAAGGCCAGCTCTGTTGGAAGACCAGGTGTTCAGAGAGATGGTTAGATGGATACACACATACTTCAGAGGGAAGGACTCATAGACCAACAGATATCACAGAGAGAGAGAGAGATTATTATTTGGATTAAAGTAGCACCTCCACCCCCAACTCAGATAGGGCCCTGTTGGGCTGGGTATGGCACAGACACCATGGGACACAGTCCCTGTGTCAAAGGGCTCACACCTAAATAGAGAAAGAGGGAGTAGAAACAGACAGCAAGAGGGAAAGGGACCTGCCCAAGGTCACATCTGTTACTGAGCTAGAAACAGAACCCAGGTGTTCTGAGAGTCCCACCCAGTCCCACTAGACTGTGCTGCACTGAGGGAAGGATGGTTGGATGGTTCGCAGGTGCGGTGCCAATGGATAAGTGGATGGAGGTGGATGGATAAATCTATGGTGAAGGTTGCAGGGGTACCCATTCCGAAGGATGAAGGGATGGATAAATGGATGGCCATAGATGGACTGCGATAGATGGATGGCTAGAGATGGGGATGGGTGGGGACGGATGGATGTATGAATCAATGGATGGGCGGGTGCATATGGTAATGGATCAGTACCGATGGCGATGGATGGTGATAGGAAATGAGAATGGATGGGGATGGACGGATGGATGGACGAATGGATGAATGGGCTGGTACAGATGGTGAGTGAGTGATAGATGAGGATGAATGGATGGGTGAATATGGCAATGGATGGATGGACGACTGAGTGCATTAATGGGGACAGATGGTGATGGATGTCTGGGGATGGATAATATATAAAGGGATGATAGATAAGTGGATGGGGTTGCATGCATGGATGGAAGATATGGGTGAGGATGAATGGATGGATGGTTAGCGATGACGATGGATGGATGGATGGATGGATGGATGGATGGATGGATGGATGGATGGATGGATGGATGGATGGATGGATGGGGAGGTAGGAGAATGGATGGGTATAGATCTATATGGATGGACGGAAGATATGGAGAATGGTTAGAGATAAGGCTGGATGGAGCGTGGGATGGCTGGGTGGATCGGTGGATCGGTGGATCGGTGGATGGCCAAGCCATCCCTGGCATCTCATTGAGACACTATCCTCTCTAGGCTATAACCCATGCATACCCACGGGGGTATCATGATCAGCATTTACCCTACACCCCCTTCCACCCCAGAGAGGAGCAGATGTCCCATGGGGATTTTCCAGCCAGAGTCAGTGGGGGAAGGTAATTAAAATACCCTGACCCGCACACACATTCCTCTGCTGGCTAGGAGGCTAAGGGGTCTCCCTTCACCCCTAACCCTCAGTGGCAGCTGTGGAGGGGGAGATAGGACAACATACAGCAAACACCCCACAGCAGAGATCAGCTTCTGGGCTCAGTCCCCACAAAGTAGCAGCAGTAGTAGAGCTGTTATCTGGAGCAAACACTAAACAGGGACTCACCTAAAGTCTCACTAGCTCTGGTGACATAGGGGGCCCAGGCAGTGGGGTGGGACAGACAATGCAGATACCCCTATGCCCCCACACATGAGCCCTGGCTCCTACCCAGCCCCTCACTCACACACCTTTCCCCCTCCTCCCCCCGATGTGTGTATCAGCCACAAGGCTGGATGGGCGAATGCAGGAATCAAACCCACCGGTGCCAACCACCGAGCTTGCATCTGGCATTAGAGGGTGGGTAGCCTGCAGCGGCAGTGTTAGGGCTGTTATCCTGGGGCAGCGCAGGGGCACACAGAGTAAGAGAGTGCGGGGGGGTGGTTGAGAGAGAGCTCAGTCCAGGGCAGATGGACACACCTGTAACATGGCATGACCCAGGGACCCTCCCACTTGGGCTGTCGTGTTTGTACACACAGAGAGACACACAACACACAGAGAGACAAACATGCACCCACAAAGAGTCATGCACCTGTTCTCCAGACATCGCTAGGGCAGGGGGCTCAGTAGGGGGCACCATGCTCAGGGAGCAGCATCTTTCGTGTCAGAGAGACCTTAGATCCCATCCTTAAAATACTTGTGGCTCTGTTCATAAAAGTGACAGTGTTCAAACTCCCCACATCCCTCAGCCGAGGCAACTACCGGCTGCACCTGGGCAAGAGAGCCCGGTATAAACAGGCCCAGAGGTGGCTGCGTTCCATCTGAAGTGACTCCTGGGTGTTTCGTTACATTGGGAGCAGGGTCATAGAGGCACACATGTGAAATCCATCCATCCTGGTCTTTAGGGAGCTCCCCCACCATGGCAGCATCCCAGCACCTCGCACACCTCAGAGGGATCCTGAGCCACCTTTCACAGGCAGAGAAACTAAGGCACAGAGAAATTCAACAGGCGGCCAAGCTTCAGTGCCAGGGTGTAGGGCCATGGCCACATGGGACAAGTGAGATGAGAGCTGGGAGGCTCTACATCCTTCATTTCATCACAGCAGGCAGGGGTGGGTGGATGGATGGAGGGGTGCAACTAGAGATAATGGTTTGTGGTCATGGATGGATGGATGAATGTACCTAAAGATGGATGGCTGGAGAGGTGCATCTAGGGATGGTTGGATGGGTGGAGGTGTCTAAGGATGGACTGATGGATCGATGGGCAGTTTGTGGTCATGGATGGAGTGGAGTGGAGAGGCATAGATGGATGGATGGAAGTGTCTAGGGATGGGTTGATGGATGAATAGATGGTTTGTGGTCATGGATGGATGGAGGGGTGAGTGGGGATGGATGGATGCATGTATTTAGAGATGGATGGATGGTTTATGGGGATTGATGGTTTGTGGTCATGGATTGACAGAGGTATCTAAAGATGGATGGGTGCAGGCATGGATATATGGATAGAGGTGTCTAGGGATGGATGGATGGATGGTTTGTGGTCTTCAATGAATAGAGTGGTGAATGGGGATGGGCAGATAGATGCATGCATCTAGAGATGGATGAATGGAAGGGGGGTGTCTAGGGATGGAATGATGGATGGTTTGGGGTCAGGGATGGATGAATCCAGAGATAGATGACTGGAGGGATGGAAGGATGGGTAGAGAAGCGGATAGGCGGGTTGGTGTTGGACGCGCAGTCTGAGCTCTCTCTGTCACAGTGGCTGAGTCAGAGTTGACGTCTCTTTCTCTCCCCCCAACAGAGGTGATCCTGTCAGGTGAGTTTTGCAGCGAAGACGGAGACGAGGAGCTGGACGGCCTCTGGTCCACCATCTCGGTGTTCATCGCCCTCTTCCTCTTGAGCGTGTGCTACAGCGCCACCATGACCCTGTTCAAGGTGAGAGAGAGAGAACGAACGTAGGATCGAAAGAATGAATGAGTTTAGCCCAGTAGATGGTGTAACAATGCTGCCTCTTGTAACGATGCTGCCTTTGGTGGGACACTTCTCAGAGTATCAATTCTGGACAAATTGCTTAGAGAACGGCAGTTACAGCCCAAGGCAGGGATTAATCCACTTCTAAGCACACCAAACCAGCGAAACAGAGAGGACTTTGGTTTTAAGCAATTCCCTTAGACACTCCAGTTTCTTGATTGGGCACTTACTGAGAATAGTCCTTTCTCAAGAAACTGACCAAATACTTCACTGAGGCTACTTAGAATCAAAACACATTGAGATACAAGTACAGAGCCAATATTCATAACTTCAACTACAAAAATGATACACCCTTACAGACAGCACAATCATAACCAGCAAATCATCACCTTGTCATAGACACCTCACTCCACAACCTTTGTACAATATTTGCTGCAACTATAGAACAGTGGTTGCGACAATGATCTGTACGGTCACAGTTTCTGTCAGTAACGTCACAGAGGGCAGCATGGAAGGGAAAGAAAGAAGAGAAGAAGAAAGGAGAAGGAAGAATGGGTGAATAAGACAGAGACTGAATGAATGAGACACAGGCATAAAAACAGGAATGAATGACACAGACAGAGCAGCTCCCCCCCAGCGCTGACCCCTCTCACCTTTGCTCTCTCTGTCCCCTGCAGGTGAAGTGGCTTTTCTCTGCCATGGTACAGCTGAGGGAGGCGAGTGGCCCCGAGTACAAGAACGTGATCCAGGGCGTGGTGTAGGGGCCACTGCCCCTGTCCGCCCAGAGACAAGGGGCCGGGACGCCCGGTTCCATTGGCGACACCACCCTGAGTCCCACAGCTGCCCCCGCTAGCACTGTGCCCCTGGGAGACCCCCACTGGGGGAGACAGGACCTCACCCCATGTGGCCTAATCACCCTCAGCCACTGGGGACGCTGCCCTGCTGGGAGCTTGGCTGAGACCAGACAACTCATATCATGCAGGGAACCAGTGCCCCTAGGGAGGAAACAACCCCTCTCCCACTTCCCACCCTCCTGAGCCTAACAGTCCCTGCTCTGGGCTCGATCAGAGCTAGCGCCCCCTAGAGGGGAAAGGCCCCATGTCCCTTCCCCACCCCCTGCGCCAGCCGTCCCCCTGCCCTGGGGCAGGACCATAGCCAGAGTTGTGTCTGTCATGCTGTATGTTGCATATTTAGCTCTTCGTTGGGATTTTTGTGGGTGGTGTGCGTGTGTGACTTTTGTTGTGTGCACTGAGTGACAATAAATAAATAATAAATATACAAATCAGGCTCCATCTCATTCATAACCTCCATCCCTGACATTCAGGGACCCCTGACACCCTCCAGAGGGGCATGTCCTGTCTGTAGGGGGAGCCTCCGGGCATGGAGAATAAAATGACGGGCACCCGCTGAACTGGCCCCTTTGGGAGATGGGGGCCTAGCTACAAACCCAGAGAGCTGGGGCTTCGTCCCTCAGCCTATACAGGCTGGGACAGAGGGGCAGGAAGGGGAGATCTCTGGGGCAGGGAAAGCCACTGATCAGATAGGGGGGCATGCAAGAGAGAAAGAAAGAAAGAAGTGTATGTATGAGGATGGACAGATGCATAGATAGATACCGGGGCACTGAGACATACAGTGAGTAGCGTTCTCCTTGGTTAAATCCCCCAAAACCACCCTAAAATGCAGCTACCAATTTTGAACTCATTTTATTTTGGATCAAATACAAAATTCCTGTGTAAGTTGCAAGTTAAAGAAAGGAGCCAATGAGACTCTTCTCCTTTGCCAGAGTCCAGGTTGACCAGACCTCAGGACACTACAGACCTACACACACACACACACACATACACACACACACAAGGAAATCCAGTCCCTGCCATGGGACAGGGGTGGAGGATTGAGGGGCACGGGGCTGAGTTCAAGCTCCAGCGTGGGCTGCCCCACAGGGACATATCAGGAAGGACTCTGCCCTCCCTGCTCTGGGCTCTGCTGAGCTCAGACCCTTCAGCGGCCGTTGTCGCGCCCTCTGAGCTGCCGTGGAACATGGTCCCTCCAGGTGTCCGGAGAGAGGGCAGGAGCCCGGGAGGGCTGAAGATGGAGGGAGGGAATGAAGAGGACGAAGCAGTGCTGGCCACCTCCTAGGAGCCTGGAGCCAGGCACTCACCACACCTGTGGGACACAGAGAGCAGAGGGGTTCAGCCGGTGCCGTTGGACCTGGCGCTGGGTTCACGCCCAGCATCCTACGCTGGGAGAGCAAGGCCAGAAGGGACCGGTGGGACCATCCAGCCTGTCCTGCTGCATAGCACGGGCCACGGACTTCGCCCAGCCACGCCTGCGTCCTGCCAGGGTGTCTGGGTTGAGCTGGAGCTCAACTTCCAGAAGAGACACCAGCCTTGTCAAACCGCCTCAGGGAACGGCCACCGCCCAGCGGGTGCCGCACACCAAGTCCCTGGAGCCACAGCTGTCTAAGCCGATTCGGCTTCTGGTTCCAGGCTATTGCACCATGTCCCCGCCACAGAACCGGCTTCACAGGCTCCTATGGGCCTTGTGCATCTGGGCCCCACGACTGATCCTTAATGACCATGGCGGAGTGGTTAGTGATTGACGCTCATTGATCCTTGCTCCGTGAACATTTGTTCCGGCTTCTGAATTAGGGATCATTCATTTTTGGTCATTGATCGTTAATTGCTGATTCTTGATAAGTGATTATTATCAGTTGATAATTACTAGCACTTTATTGATGGTTGGTAACCCTGATGGGAACTCGTTAATTAGTGATGACGGGTGGTTGATTATTAACAAGTAATCATTCCTGATTATCTCTGATTGATCGTTGGGCACGGTGAGGAATCAGGGCTGGCAGCAGAGCCAGTCCCAGGCGACCTGACGCGCGCCCCCGGCCTGTAGCTGCCTGATCGGCTCCGCCCTGATTGCTGGGCAGAGTCAGCAGACCGGCTCATAACCCAGCAGAACTTCAGCCGTTGCCCAAAGTATTTCCCCAGGGCTGTGATAGCGGCTGTGTCGGATTGTTCCAGCCTGCTCCTGCCTTGTTCCCGTCTCGCTCCAGCCCGGCTCCTGTCTGGCTCCAGCCCTGCTCCTGCCTTGTTCCCGTCTCGGTCCAGCCCGGCTCCTGTCTGGCTCCAGCCCGGCTCCTGTCCTGGACCCAGGCTGTCCTCTCTCCAGGTAACCTGTTCCTAAATCTGGGCTCTAATTCCTGACTTTGGTTTTAGCCTCTGACAACCATAGAATCATAGACATATGTGACAGGGAGAGACCTCGAGAGGTCACCTAGTCCCGTCTCCTGCCGTGAGGCTGGACTAAGTAATAACTAGTCCATCCCTGACAGGTATTTGTCTGACCTGTTCCTAAAAACCTCCAACAATGGAGGCTCCACAACCTCCCTGGGCAATTTGTTCCAGTGTTTACCCAGCCTGACAGTTAGGAAGTTTTTTCCAGTGTCCAACAAAACCGGCCTTGCTGCAATTTAAGCCAATTGCTTCTTGTCCTATCCTCAGAGGATAACGAGTACAATATTTCATCCTCCTTTTTGTAACAACCTTTTATGTATTTCAAAAATGTTATCATGTCATTCCCCTGTCCCGGCTACCCCAGTCTTCTCTTCTCCAGACTAAACAAACCCAGTTCTTTCAATCTTCCCTCACAGCTCGTGTTTTCAAGCCCTTAAATGATTTTTCTTGCTCTCCTATGGCCTTTCTCCAACATTTCCACATCTTTCCTGAAATGTGGTGCCCACAACTGGACACAAGACTCCAGCTGAGGCCATATCAGCGCGGAGCAGAGCGGAAGAATTACTTCTCGTGTTTTCCTTACAACACTCCTGCTAATACATCCCAGAATTTGTTTTTTTTTTTCCGACAGTATTACATTGTTGATTCATATTTACCGCTATGACCCCCAGATCCCTTTCGGCAGTACTCCTTCCTAGGCAGTCATTTCCCATTCTGTATGTGTGCTACTGGTTGTTCGTTCCTAAGTGGAATACTTTGCATTTCTCCTTATTGAATTTCATCACTGAGTGTGGGTGACTGAGTAGTTCCCGAGGATGGTTGGTGGCTCATGGGGGGATAGATTACTGAGCGCTGGTTATTGCTAGAAGCAGTGAAGCGTGACCATGAAGGTAGCTGTGGCTATTACCTTAGCCAGCGTGACGCCGGCGCTGTACAACAGGCTGAGCAGGAAGAGAGCAATGAAGACAACAGGTGTCCAGAGACCGTCAGATTCCTCCTCTCCTCCTTCAACATAGACGCCGTGGTCCTCCACCAGGCAGTGAGGAGCTGGGAATGAGATAAACGGGCCGGTTAGAGAGGCCTCTTCGTTAAGCCAAGGAGCTGAGTGGGCCCAGCAGGGAGCTCCGATCTGTGCTCGTGGCAGGAATTCCTGTCCAGGGCCAGAGACAGAGGGTTCCCTGCCATTACAGCCCTTGCCTGCGGAAGGCAGAGATCTAGAGACACACACCAGAGACCTGTTGCCCACAGCTGACAGCTGGAGTCGGAGTCCCAGGGAATTACCTGCGCCGAGGAGCCCGGAGACCCCGACGTGATATGGACTGCAGCTTCAGGAAGCCCAGTCGGAAGTGACCCAGGGAGGTGGAGGGAGTGGTATCTCCCACCCGTGTAAGGTCAGCATGTTGCAGTGACGGGAGGAAGCAATAACAGAATATGTGGAAATGGCAGAGGTGCTTAATGACGTCTCTGTTTCAGTTTTCATCAACAAGGTGGGCGGCGATTAGGTGTCTAACATAGTGAATGCCAGTGAAAATGAGGTAGGATCAGAGGCTAAAATAGGGAAAGAACAAGTTAAAATTTACTTAGATAAGTTAGTTGGCTTCAAGTCACCAGGGGCTGATGGAATGCATCCTAGAATACTCAGGGAGCTGACTGAGCAGATATCTGAGCCATTAGCGATTATCTTTGAAATGTCATGGAAGATGGGAGACATTCCAGAAAACTGGAAAAGGGCAAATATAGCGCCCTTCTATAAAAACAGAAATAAAGACAACCCGGGGAATTACACACCAATCAGCTTAACTTCTCTACGTGGAAAGATAATAGAGCAAATAATTAAGCAATCAATTTGCAAACATGTAGAAGAAAATAAGGTGATAAGTAACAGCATGGATTTATCAAGAACAAATCGTGTCAAACCAATCTGATCGCTCTCTTTGAAAGTGTAACAAGCCTTGCGGATAGGGGGGAAGTGGTAGACATAGTATATATTGATTTTAGTAAGGCTTTTGATACTGTTTCGCATGATCTTTTCATAAACAAACTAGGGAAATGCAATCTAGATAGCGCTACTATAAGGTGGGTGCATAACTGGTTGGAAAACCATTCCCAGAGAGTAGTTATCAGTGGTTCACAGTCCTGCTGGAAGGGCATAATGAGTGGTGTCCCACAGGGATCAGTTCTGGGTCTGTTTCTGTTCAATATCTGTATCAATTATTTAGATGATGGCATAAAGAGTACACTTATAAAGTTTGCGGACAATACCAAGATGGAAGGGGTTCAAGTGCTTTGGAGGATAGGAATAAAATTCAAAATGATCTAGAGAAACTGGAGAAATGATCTGAAGTAAATAGGATGAAATTCAATAAGGAAAAATGCTAAATACTCCACTTAGGAAGGAACAATCAGTTGCACACATACAAAATAGAAAATGACTGCCTAGGAAGGAGTAATGCAGAAAGGGATCTGGGGGTCATAGGAGATGACAAGTTAATTATGAGTCAGCAGTGTAACAGTGTTGCAAAAAAAGTTAACATCATTCTGGGATGTATTAACAGGACTGTTGTAAACAAGACACGAGAAGTAATTATTCCGATCTACTCCGCATTGATTAGGCGTCAACTGGAGTATTGTGTCCAGTTCCGGGTGCCATATTTCAGGAAAGATGTGGATAAATTGGAGAAAGTCA